TAAATACCCTGTATTAATTGATATTACCTTATTCGAACCAATCGTCTATTTTTTCGTTGTTTGTATTTATATTTCACACCTCTATACTCTTAAATGTAATTTAATCTAACTAAACCTATTCACTAAACTAAAATATAAAAATAATGTAAAACCCTCTAATAAATCGAACTGCGTTATAACAATATCTCGCAATGCACCGAGAAAAGCAAATACGATTCTGGTTCCCCTAATTTAGGTAACTCTGACTCACTCCGTGTTAGGATTTTTCGGTTCCTTTGTCTTAATTTCGCGCGTTAGAGTTTGGAATACGATCCCTCGTATCTACAGGCAATTGTTAAAATTATGAATGAATGCGGATTTTGTTTAGTCTCGGAAGTAATTTTGTAGTATTTAGGTTCCACCCTAAAGTTGTAATTTTTATACCTACTAAACTACCGTTGCCCCGCAGGTCTTTCAGTTTGTAATGTAAATTTTCCTCTTAACATTAGAAAAATATGTTGAACTGTTATTAATCCTATGTTTAAAATCAATATTTTTTTAACATAATTTTAAATTCTTTAGCCTACTTTAATATTTACATTATAGACAGAACATAGCTCTCCAATATTGGCACTATCTACTAAACAAAGATTAAACCTACATAGAAAATCCAATAAACTACCAATATATGCTATATTGCATCCACATTGGTACAAAAGTAATACTGTATATTGGATTAATATTGGAAAAGTAGGCATTGCCACTATGAACTTTAGAAAAATATGTTGGGCTGATATTAATCATATGTTTTGAATAAATATTTTTTTGATATAAGATTGTATTCTGTTACCAATATGGGCAACTGCTATTGTTTCATCATTTAGAGAACATAATTCTTCAAGATTGGCCCTATCTACAAAACAAATATTAAACATAAATAGAAAATCAATAAAAATTAAATAAACTGCCGTTATTTGCAATATCTCACCCACATTGGAACAAAAATGCTAAATTATATTGGATCAATATTGTGAAAATAGGTGTTGCCAATATAAATGTTAGAACTATATGTTGGGCTAATATAAGGGCAATATTATAAAGCAATATCTTTTAGTCATAAAATAAAGTATTTTTGCCAATATTGGCTGCAGGTCATTAATATTGGTCCAAGTTTCAAATATGGGACCAACATTTTGCCAAGCGACAGCCAAGATTCATGGCTACCTGGGAATGAATGCCATAATGGTCTAGAAGGAAATATTTGCTATATTTTTCTGCCTACAAAAAATAATCTTGGTCAAACCAGCAAACCGCTTTTTTCCATAAGAATTACCAAGATTTATACGCAATATCACCTTTCAGGATCATCTGCTCTTTAAAGTTTTTCAAATCCTATATAATTAGTTTGGGTGGTACCTGGACGAAGCATTCTATAGTTAGACTTTCTCTTAAGAAGGTGACCGAACTACTAGAGCTCTAGTTCTATTTAGATGGAGAAATTTATGGGAAGAATTCCTCAGTTGAATGAATAAGGAGTAAAAGTATTTAAATGGTGCCATAATAAGCTTATGAGGCAGCATTAAAAAAATACTTTTTCTTAACTCATCAATTAGCCTTCTGAGAGGTTTTAGTCTAGGTTCGATAATTAGGTAAGCACACGAAAGATGATGCATCTCAATTGCAGTATTCATCTACGCTCGTCGGTTTCCCGAATTTACCTCCCACGTGATCAGGGTGGAAGAGGCCTTCTAAACTTGGAGTGTCTGCACGACAGGCTGGTACTAAGAATGGCCTGCAAAATCGTTAATAGTACGGATCCACCACTAAAACTCGTAAAAGATTACGAAGCAGCTAATGTCGGAGCATTTCTTTTTTGGGCAGCAGGACAAGCGGCAGATAGATTAAATCTAGTGTTAACATTAGATTCCGATGACGAACGGTAGCTTACTAGGCTGGAGTCTGAGGCTCTAAAATCTCGTATTAAGAGAGCAGAAAAACAAGGGCTCTTTGAAGACCATCTCAATAAGCCGCAGCACGGAGTGTTCTATAGAAACATCCAAAATCTAAGGCTATCCAAAAGACTGACTTTTACCTTTCTAAAGTCTGCTGGTCTAAAATCTGAGACTAAAGGCTTTCCGATTGTTTGCCAGGATGAGGTAAATAATACCCTGGTATACCGTAGTCAATTTTCTGAAGTTTCTGACGTCAGATATAGAACCTGTCACCAGCACCCCGAAACACTTATTCACCTATTGTCAGCTTGCGCTGTGCATGCTGTTTACAGCTATATTTACCGGCACAACGTGGCTCTTTGGGTGCTTTATTATCATTTGCGACATATCTACGGTATGGATGAAACACCAGTGCTACCTTATGCTGCAGGGGACATTGAGACAGTAGTGAAAAATAATAACTGTCGCATTTATTGGAACGTAAGCACAATAATTAGCATAAGAAAGGACAAGAATATTACACAGTTGAGTCTTCAGATCACTACTAAGCACATGTCTATGAGCGTAAAGAGTTCGCAGTTTACTATAGGCTTTCTGTAAAAGACACATGGTCAGTAAGGCTCAAATCTTTATCCATGATTAATCCTAAGTTTCTAGATTTCTCCAATATAGCCAGTTGGTTATTATTCAGTTTAATATTAATTTCATTTGATTTTAATGAACCAAAAATAATAACCGAAGATTTCGAGGCTAAACTGCTAATTTTGCTGGGAGGATTCTCTCTGATCTTGGCAAGCAATCTACTCTTATAAACTTTAAACTCATTGCGTATTGCAAATTTTACTAAACACATTGTATTTTTGGTTCATGGACGTTATCATGAGAAGGTATGAGATTTTTTGTTACTCTACTAAATAGTCGCTGAGCTGGTGAATCCAAATCGTCACTTCGTAATGTATTTCTTTGATTTAAAAGTATATGTCAGAATTGTCTTTAGAACATTTTTTAATTAATTTTTTAGCAATGCTAACATATTTTTCCGAAAGTCCGTTTGATTGAGGGAAATGTGAAGAAGATATTTGGTGTGTCACATTCCAAGACTTGAGAAAGGTCTTAAATGCAGCAGAGGTATACTGAGAACCGTTGTCCCTTTCTAAAAATTTTCGGGATACCATGTACGGAAAAACACTTCTTGAAAATGTTTATAATTTCTGTAGACGTAGCATATTTTAATTTTTTACAATCAAAGTATTCAGAATAACTGTCACAAATTAAGATATAATCATCTTTTCTTACCTTGAAGAAGTCTGTTTCGACAATTTTCCAAGGTAATGTTTGAATTTCTTTTTCGACTAGTGATTCTTTTACATTTGAATACTGCATCGACTGGCAAACTGCACAATTTTTTATAAAATCGGAAATAGTTTTTGTCATACCTATCCAAACAACTGACGATTGAGCTCTCCTTAAGGACTTCTCGAGGCCATGATGACTGGCACGGATATCTTTTAGAATTTTAGGTATATAAGATCTAGGTACTATTACTTTGTGACCATTAAAAAGTAAATAATTTGTTATTGATAGCTGATCTCTATACGTCCAATGGGGTCTTAGTTCTTCTTTCAGTTTAATTCTTTCATTAGGCCATCCATTCATAATCATGTCTGTAAGAGCAACCAACTCTAATTTTAAAGATGTTTCATTGATGAAGGTTGACTGGGCTAGCTCAGAGGCAGAAAATACGATTTGTATTTGTAAATCATCTTCCTCTGTATCAGGAATATTTCTGCAGTCTCTGCTTAATAGATCAGCAATTGGTATTTTTGGACCTTTCACATATACCACTTGTGGACAATACTGAAGAATATCAAGGATTATTCGTTGTAATCTAGGAGGAGCAGAACAAAGAGGTTTTTTGCAAATAGATTCTAATGGTTTGTGATCAGTCTGAATTATTAATTTCTTTCCAAATATATATGAATGGAATTTTTGACAAGCAAAACGAATAGCTAGAGCTTCTTTGTCAATTGGTGAAAAGTTTCATTGAGAATCAGTGAAGGATTTCGAAAAATAAGCGAATGTTTTATCATCTTGCAATAATATTGCACCTGCTGATTTTTCGCTGGCATCTGATTGTATGGTGACATCTGAATTAACGTCATCATAATACTTAAGAATGGGTGGAAATATAAGCAGTTCCTTGATTTTTGAAAAAGCTTGTTCCTGTTCGTAGTCCCGTTTAAAGCAAACATTGTTTTTATAAGTTCACGTATTGATGCTGTTAACTCAGAAAGATTTGGAATAATTTTGGCAAGATGAATTCACCATTCATAGAAGTCTTTTTTGATGAAAGAATCTCCAAATGTTTGATAGTTTTTACACGCACGGCCGATTAGAAGTACAAGAAAGCCGAAGAGGCTTATTAAAGAAATTTAGCTTGTGAAGTTAGTTTAGTTACCTTATCTGATTTTGTTCTAGCTTGTACCTTAGTTAAGATTTATATAGTTTATTTAGCTACATTCCATTCTTATTGTGTTTTGTAAAGGGAGATGTAACAGCAAGCTTAAACAACAGAATGTTGTAAGATGTCAGTTGTGAACGCTGTCAAATAAAAATACTTATTACTTGCATCCGTATTATTATTTTAAATAATTATAACATTACATATACTAAGACATCTGCTATAAAACAAAACTGCAAAAATGCTATGCGGTTTACATATCCTAGAAGATAGAAGTAAACAATTTCTTCTTCTATTTCTACTCAAGCTGATGAACGGGATGATTCTTTCTTAAGACAAATTTATATTTTGGTATCTGCCAGATAGAGACAAAACATCTCCCAATGTCAAGTCAAAAAATATCTAACCAACTATAGACAGAAAGCTTACTTTGCCAAAACTATAATAAATTCTTTCCTAAATATGACATTTTTATTATAAAAGTATGTTGTACTCTATAAATAATACTGAAATACTTATTGCAACTGTTACGTAGTATTTTAAGTGCAATTTTGTATTGTCTCCCATTGTAATTTGTAAATTTCATTTTTTATAATTTACTATTTCAGGCTACTGTAAAAAGAACTACCTCGGATCCTGGACAATCATCGGCTATCATTCAGTTCCAGTCTAATGAATCGTTCCCATTGGCTAACCTCACTTACGAAACAGATGAAGCGGAATTTATTTCATCTAGTTTACAAGAAGGAGTATTTACGCAAGTTCAGGACAGCATGCTTCTCCAAGGAGTCGATCCTTCTCAATTAGCTTCGATCCAATTCCAGACAGATAATCTGCCTTACGATCAAAACGAACAACAAATTCAAGAAATTAAAATCGAAGATATAGACCTTGAAGAAACGGTTGTACAACAATCTCCGTCTTACCAATCGAATCATCCCGTAAACCATGAATTACAAGCTGTTTTGGATTCTCCTTTACCTGAAAGTTTGGCTGAGTTCAGTACGTTTCACTCGAGCAGTAGCATCGATATGCCTTCGCCTAGCTATCAAACGCAATCGCCTGCTCAGTACGCTAGATCTCCGCATACTATTACTGCGCAATCGCCGTTGCAGAGTCCTTTAATAAGGCACGATTCACCTGGATTTGCTTATCCTACACCGCCGGCTAGCCACGAGGGTCAAAGTCCTGGTTTTGGACAGAACACTATCCTCCCGATGGTGTCGCCTAATGGGCAAGAATTTGGACAAATCGTTGAAAGAGGTTAGTAACTGTTTTTGTCAAAATGATCAATACCTTGCATCATTATTAACAACTTGTGGACCAAAAGTGTTTTTCTTTAGTTAGCTAAGAAATATTTGATTTATTTTGGAGATTATATCAAATTGTTATTTATATATAGTAGTAATTTCAGATAACTTCATACCTCAGGAGAAAAATATTGTAGCTCACACATTAAAATCTTACTAAATTTCTCTAAGCGGTATATTCTTATAGGTATGTATGAAGAACCACCTCAAGCATCCTCACCACTATCCGCTGCATTCTACACATCAACCATGTCGAGTTCGGCAGCAGTAGAGGAAGCTCTAGAAGAGGTGTTACCAGACGAACCAATTTACCCACTGACAAACTCTCCTTCTCCTCCGTCCCCTCTAGGTTTAACTCCAGTACAATCTCCGATATCTAATATCGCATCAACGTCTGATATATCTCAAACCTCTACCACTTTTACATCCTCTCCGAATACTTCAACTTTTTCCATGTCCGGTAGCTGGTGTAATGGAGTCATGCTACCTAATTCCGAGGATCCGCTGCTCTCTAGCAGCCCGAAGGACTTCGTGCCGAAGAAGAAAATAGAAATAAACGGTGTTCCACTTAGGCTCATCAGCAACAACGGCCTAATAGAGTTAAACAGTGCGAATTTCGCTGGGATCTTAGTCGATGCAAATGGAGAAATCAAACTGATCCAAACGGGCGGGAATAATTTTCATTCGAAGAATATTTTGTTAACGAATGCCCCTTTCATCACTCAAGACAATGGTAGTGACGATAGACATAATAAAGTGATAAAAACAGTACAATGCACATTTCCAACGAAACAAATTATCAACAGACCTAAACAAATTACCGAGATTAAGAGAGAAGAGAACAACGATGTTTTTTTAAGTCCTACTACGTAAGTTATTCGATACTATTTCCAGCTTCTTTTTCCAGATTTTTTTACTATTTAATATATACTATCTATACTATTTTTAGTTAGACATTAATTTATCTCCTTTTTGTATCATCTTTTTCCTTACATCCATGTTCTTTTCTCCCATACTTCCAATATTTTTTTTACTTTAGAATTTAAGATAGTTTGGAATATTTATTTGTTTTTGAATCCTTTTGCGCTGAATTTAGAAGTTGTCCAATTGTCCAATTTCAGCAGTTGCAAAGCAATCTCACATACTTCAATTTATTGTTTTTAGGATACCTGCTAGTCCTATAAAAATATCGAGAAAAAGGCCTAGAACGGAACCCCTTCAGTTACCTGTGCTACATCAATCAAAACTTAGAGCAACTAGGAGTAAACCACCAGGTTCGGCTAGATATACACCTCAGCCCATACTCAATCCGCAAAGACCTGGTACTGGGCTCTATGGAAATTTAAAAATAATAAAAAGTAAGTAAACTTAGGACAATTTTAATTTCTTTTAGCTCATTTAAATTGCAACGTAGATATGATCTGCTTCCTATTGAATAATGCTGCTAATTTATCTGATCTACTTGTTCTTTTTATAGCTGAAGATGGAGGTTGGAGCAACGAGCCAATACCAGAAAGTGATTCTACACCGCATGTCAACATAGGATCGCAATATCAATGTAAAATTTCGAATTTTTCTCCTAATCCCGACAGAAGCAGTCCAGACCCTACACATGAAGATCTGCTTTGGGATCCTGGTATAAATAGTTGTACAGATAGTGAAGGTAAATACCAAGCCATGTATAATATATTTTTTCTTGGGGATCATCAAAATATTTGTATTAAACAATTTAGCATCCTTTGTAATACCATTATCTTCTAAGTCATTTTGTTACTAGTAACATATTAATCAATAATTTTCATAAAATATTAGTTAGATACCTGGCTTTAGTAATTGTTACAATTATGTCCAAATATCATTTTGAGGGATTTCTTTTGTTGGTCTATTTTTTATTTTACTTTCATACATTTGCGCTGAAGGTTTGCATCACTTTGCAAATCTTCAGCTTCCTCTAAGTCACTATCTGGTGCCCTTATCACCTTTGGACTTATATAATCTTCATCAGACAAAATAGATTATTCGTTGTCAACATGTGGAATTTTGACGGCATCAATTTTTTTATAAAAAAATGATTTTGTAATTTCTCAGGATAGTCCATTGCATGTTGACCCATATATTAGAAAAACTTTTTTGCCATGGCTGAATTTTAAACCACAAAATGTTTTATCTACTTTTACAATATAAATCAGTGCCTAATATCTGCTATTGCATCTAGACTCTTTAAATTATCTCCGATTTTAATCCGAACCGTAAAATGCGATAAAAGTTCGTATTTAAATGTCTTATGGACATCGAGTTTTCTTTCACGCACGATTGTACATTTTTTGGGCCAAAACAACATGTCTATAATACATCTAGTGCTATATTTGGTACTGTTGCGCAACTATAATGATAGTTTATTGTCGTATTCTTTTAATTTCGTTTGGTATTTACACTTTTATTTGATTTATTTACAGTGGATATGTATTTGGATTTTGCCTGTTGCGCTGCTGTGCCAGGCGGTGGAAGAAATAAAGAATATGCAATGCATCTTCTTCATATGTGTGGGGGAAACATTCACGTAAGTGTTATTTATTTTCTATAGATTTATTAGTTTTGATATTAAACAATAATAAGGAATTCTTAATGGTGTCTCTAAAATTGCAAATTTGTATACAGTATATTGGTAAAAGAAAGAAAGAGGACATGAAAATAAAAATATACAATTTAATCATATAAGCAACTAACCGAATAAATTTTTTTTTTATAATCCTGAGGATTTCCAATACTATGCAGATGATCTAGTTATCATAATTAGTGGTGATTTACAAAATTCTTTAATAATCCCTAAACACGATCAACAAATGGTGCGAGAGTAAATATATGTCTGTTAACCTCCGGATAAACTATTATCGTCTCCTTCACCAAGAGAAGGAAATTTGACAAGCCTCGAAAACATTCATTGGCTGGGGAAACCATTCCTTTTTAGGAGGAAGTGAAATGTCTGACAATTATCCTAGATAAAAAACTCACCTGAGATCTTTAATTGGAAAAAATAAAACAATCAAAACAGCTCTGGATACTCAGAAAGATATGCGGCAAAGCAATTTTACCCAATCAGGGTAAAACCCCAAGTTACCTACAGCTTCGTCGTCTGGTGAGGCAAGGGACTTTAACGAACGACTAGAGCAAAACTAGCTGGAATCTAACGGCTTGCATACCTTGCTATCATTGAAACAATATCACCCACACCAACGAAGGCCTTGGAGACCATGCTGGACCCAATTTCTCTCCACATTCTGCTGGATGGCTAGAATGGTCTCCTGTAGACTCCTGAAGTTGGGCAGTCATGCAAAGAAGAACCGCGATAAAACAAAACAAAGCTAATGACTAAGATTAATAATTACTATATCCCTAGCATGGTCTTTTTTAATTTAAATATTCTTCTTACAAAATTTTTTTGTTACTATTTACACAATCAATCAGTTTTTCTTATTTGATGTTTATTATTTTAGGATGCCATGCTGCGACTGATGCAACCCTCACCACACCTTCCGCCGGATCACCCCCTATTAGCTTATCAGTATTGTGAAAGTGACAAATGGTCAACGTCAGAAACTGACATCTTCCATAAGTCCCTGCTCAAGTACGATAAAGACTTCCGTAGTATTGCTCAAGAGGTAAGTTGAACCAGAGATAAAATTTAATCCACATACAGTTTACACCTGGTTATTTTCATTATGGTCTCTAGTATTACTAAAACAATTAATCAAGTAATCAATTAACCAACATGCTTTATTCTATACATTCCTTGAAATTTTACTGCTTTCAGGAAGGCTGTGATGATAGAATGCCATTAGTGCATAACTGGTTTTATTAAAATATCCTTACACACTGATGTGTTATGTTTTGTTTAAAACTGTCCTTCTCTCTTTTAACATGCTTCTTATAATAAAATCGCTTTAATTACTTTATTAGGTTTCTACATACACCGAGAAAACGAGGTCTATTAAACATGTTTAATAGAAAAAAAATTGATTGTCACTAACAAATTACTTCATTTTCGGTTAATAACAGTAATTAAACGAATGTTGCTGGAAATGTATTAATTTGAAGCTGCTGTAATTAGTCAATTGTTTAATAACCAATACCATATGAGTAAAACTCTATTACCGACTATATTTCTAATTACTATTAAACTGATTTAATGGTGCCTATTAAACTCTTTAATAGCAGTTTGTTAACCATAGCTAAATGTTCGATAACGACAAATAAATTTTAAAAATTGTAATCCCTTCCTTACTCTACGTGATGTAGATTTACAAGCTCAATAATCATTCGCGCCATAGCATGTAATGAAGAAACGATTCTAGCCCTACGGAATTTAGTGTACTTGTGTGGTACGAGTAAATCGTGTTCCTGTGAGTTTTAATGCACTAAAATAATGGATTATATGAAATTACCAAAGAATTGTAGATGCCGGTAGTTGTTTTGTTATGTGTCTTTTCTAACTAATACGAATTATATCCATTAAAACTATTAGTAGTACCCCACTAGCAGTACTCTTGTCAATATTGACAAAATTATTGCTAGATACTATACAAAATGCGCTAGATTGTTTAAACTTCGTACACGTAATACTTATCTCAATACAGTTTTGCCAGGTAAATCCATTTTCCCCGTGATTTTCTCCAAGGTACTAGAAAAAACGCGCTAGATTGCCTTAACTTTGCACACGTAATACATATTACCCGTTTTCCAAGGAAAACCATTTTTCTTTCCATCGCTTTCAAGGGGTACTTTTATCGTGTCAATTTTGACAAAATTATTGCCAGGTGCTAGAAAAAACGCGCTATATTGCTTAAACTTTGCACACGTAATACTCATTACATTACCCTTTTGTCAGGTAAAACCATTCCCCCTCCCCATAGCCTGCAAGGGGAATTTACTTTTGTTTATTTTGACAAAGTTGGTGCCAGGTACTAGAAAAAACGCGCTAGATTGCCAAAACTTCGCACACGTAATACTTATCTCTATACCTTTTAAAATGGTAATTTCTAATGCTTCTTCCATATTATATACTATTATTGACAACAAAATAGATGAACTGTAATTTAAAATTTTTAAAATGAGGTTAGAAATACATATGATGACAAGAATTCTAATATCAAAACTTTAGGTTTGCAGTAAGTCTTCTTTTGGCATGGAATTCGGCTTGGCTCTAATAACGCCGTCGATATTAGTGGCTGGCGTTATATTATTCAGAGAGAGTGACATAAACATTGACAAATGACATAATAATGAAAAGGCGTATTTTAGCGTTACATTCAGCAACATACTAGTCTTATTTTGATTATCTTAAAAAGCTATTTGTTTAAAGTCTATTTTCTTTAAATATACCTAATGAGAATGTCTAGAAGATGCATTTTAATGTATCTACGTCCCTCGAAAATTAACCGTTTGTTTTCTTATTATTTAACATATTATTTTCATTTTTCAGATTCGAACAAAAACCGTAAAGCAATGTGTGCAATTTTATTATGTATGGAAAAAAGTTTGCGCTGATGAGTACCGAAGATTGAAGCATCTCCGAGAAAGGAGAAACAGCTATTATAAGACCGGTGAATTTGATGTGGATGAAAAGTTATTTGCTGATGCTAAACTATTAGGGGTAAGACCGTTTTAGATTTATTTTTTTTAATCATTAATTAATTTTATAAATATATATTTCAGTTTGCTGATAGTGGGTCACCGATGCAAATACCAGATACAAGAAATTTTGTGTGCGAGTTTCTTGATTGTTCAGCAGTAAGTATATAAAATAGAACACTTGATATTTCTGGAATTTCTAAAAAAAATTATTTATAAAAAAAAATATATGTATAATGGTATATGATACCGTTATTTTTCATTCACCTGTAATCCATGTCACGTTCTGTAATTGTTAGGAGATAACCACTCGCGACAGGTCAATTAAGAATGCAAATATACTTTTCTATTGTAATTTTGAAAGCATTTTGTATGTTTTAGTGTTAAGTCAATAATACGGAATTATAACCATAAACAATTCTTGTAACAAGACTCGACCCATACTCTCATAAAAATTTGTCAACACCGTGAATGTTGGCAATTCGATTTTTGTAAACAAAATTAGTCTAGTAGTTGGTCGTCGTTGATCGAAAAGCATCACCAGTTGGCATGACGATTTATTACGATGGCTTCTTCTTTTCGAGTCTTCTGTTAACTGAAGAGTTGTCCAGTAATTGCAGTAGGGGAGGAGGGGGCACAGGGCAACGCTTAAAAAATATTGTATATTTTCCAAACACATTAATAAAAACGAGTAAACCTTACTACTTAATTATAGTATGTACATTACTTAAACGATTTCCAACCGTAAATTTGATATAAATAATAATTAGGCGAAATAATATTCGTTTCATTGATAGTTTACACTGGTCCTATATGCCCCTTGGTACTGGGGCATAGGGGACATGCCTAGTAATTAATTTTAAAATGGTTTTAACAAAAAGACATTAACTAATGTTTGCAGAAATCATATATTATAGAACTTAACACTTGAGTATTTATTTACCATGTTTTATTTTTGAATGGAATATTAGAAACACTTTAAATAATTAAACTCTTGTGCAAGCATCATGTGCCCAACCTTTGCAATTCTGGCACTGAATCCATCCCTCCACTGTCCTTGATTCGCCATACCGACTTGGACAATAAATGCATATGGCTAGTGTCTTCTTCTTCACTATCACTGCTTGAAACCTCTACGACCTTTTCTTTCACTGTTTTTTTTATTTTAAGTTGCTTTTCTTCATAGTGATAATAAATTGACGTCAAATTTGTGACGTCAAAAAGACGTTAAAGAAGTGACGTTATATTCACCTCATTTTTTGGTAACATTACGTCGATGACCAAGAATTACCAAAAAATGTCGTCAAAATGTCGTCAGTCTGCTGCATGGGAAGGTGGTACTACTGGTTACAAAATAAATCGAGTGAACCTATGTGCCCCGCCGGTCCTCTCTTTATTGGCGTGGAAGTAAAGTCCACCCTCATATTTTGCATTAACCTCTTTATTGCTTCTTTGACTGTTAGCATCTTCATGTCTGTATGAAGATAATCGTTTAAATAGAACGAAGGTGCATCAACGATGCTTCTTAGGATTTTATTTTAAAAAACTTGTATCATGTAAATATTAGTCTTGCTGGCACATCTTCATAGCTGTATGCCATAAATCCAGACTCGATTTAGGCTTTGATATTAAATCATTAATTTGCTGTACACATAAATATGCAATTTTAGATGCATAATTATTAGAACTTACCTGAAGGAAAGTAGTGTAGGAAAAAGGTTGTTATAAATGAAATACATACTCATACTAAAAGGTTTTATAATTTTTATATTACTAAGAACTTGTTCTAATATTATATTGACTTATCATAAAATCTATACCCACATTTTTTAATAATATTTTTTAGTTCATTTCAGTTTTTTCTTAGGTATTTACGACATTCACTGTATGTATCTTACTTTTGGATATATTTTCACTTATGGAGGGGATTTTGTGGAAACCATACACATGTTTTTTTATCTGTTGCCTACTCATTATCATTTTTAAATTTTCTGAATTTTTTTTTTTAGGCATATTTGCAAAATGTCCATGACTTTGACATTTAAAACACCTACGACCATAACTTGAGCATGCTTAGTATCACATCGCTCGTTTCATTTGTTTCTCTTCAGTCTTTTTATATCCGTGGCATCTTTATAACTTGATCTGTTATTATTTATTTTTCTTTGTAATGCTTTCACATTTGCTTTAGTTTTCCTAAATTTTCCTATTTTTCTTAAATTTTCTTAAATTTTCTTAATTTTTCTTAATTTTTCTTAATTTTTCTTAATTTTTCTTAATTTTTCTTAAATTTTCTTAAATTTTTTTAAATTTTCTTAAATTTTCTTAAATTTTTTTAAATTTTCTTAAATTTTCTTAAATTTTCTTAAATTTTCTTAAATTTTCTTAAATTTTCTTAAAGTTTCTTAAATTTTCTTAAATTTTCTTAAATTTTCTTAAATTTTCTTAAATTTTCTTAAATTTTCTTAAATTTTCTTAAATTTTCTTAAATTTTCTTAAATTTTCTTAAATTTTCTTAAATTTTCTTAAATTTTCTTAAATTTTCTTAAATTTTCTTAAATTTTCTTAAATTTTCTTAAATTTTCTTAAATTTTCTTAAATTTTCTTAAATTTTCTTAAATTTTCTTAAATTTTCTTAAATTTTCTTAAATTTTCTTAAATTTTCTTAAATTTTCTTAAATTTTCTTAAATTTTCTTAAATTTTCTTAAATTTTCTTAAATTTTCTTAAATTTTCTTAAATTTTCTTAAATTTTCTTAAATTTTCTTAAATTTTCTTAAATTTTCTTAAATTTTCTTAAATTTTCTTAAATTTTCTTAAATTTTCTTAAATTTTCTTAAATTTTCTTAAATTTTCTTAAATTTTCTTAAATTTTCTTAAATTTTCTTAAATTTTCTTAAATTTTCTTAAATTTTCTTAAATTTTCTTAAATTTTCTTAAATTTTCTTAAATTTTCTTAAATTTTCTTAAATTTTCTTAAATTTTCTTAAATTTTCTTAAATTTTCTTAAATTTACTTAAATTTTCTTAAATTTTCCTAAATTTTCCTAAATTTTCTTAAATTTTCTTAAATTTTCTTAAATTTTCTTAAATTTTCTTAAATTTTCTTAAATTTTCTTAAATTTTCTTAAATTTTCTTAAATTTTCTTAAATTTTCTTAAATTTTCTTAAATTTTCTTAAATTTTCTTAAATTTTCTTAAATTTTCTTAAATTTTCTTAAATTTTCTGTTAAATTAGCTTAATTGTTCCATCTTGTTGAATATGAATGCGCACGAAAGGCTTTATAATATTTGTCATTAACATTAATACTGAGTTATATATTATTATAAATATACAAACATGTTTAAAATATTTGTTGAAACGTTTCATCATACATTTAATAAACTCTCAACTGTCATACATGACTTTTTTTTGTGTCACTCTTATTTTTTCCTTAATACAATTTTAATATAATTTTTGTTGTTTTTTCTATTTTTAGAGTTTTAACTCGCGCGCAGCCCTCAACGGTCACATCCGAATACACGGGGGTACGGCAAGAAATTCCCCGACACCTTCGTCGACCACATCGTTGGAAAGGCGAACAGTGCCTGTCACCTCCTCCAGTGTCTGTCATCCAGACTCGACCGAAGAGTACCCCTGTAAGATATGCGGGAAGTAAGTGTACATCATTCGTCATAAAACAATCGAAGGTAAATGATCGGTGTGTTGCGTCCTCTGCTTACGTGCTAATACTATTTGTGTATACATTATCATTATACTCCTGAATTACACAACGTCCAGTGTGCGGAATAAGGTATTATTTTGTTTCTGTGAAAGAGTGGTTGGTATAATCTGTTAACTGTAAAGAAATACTCGGTAAAATTTTGATACACGGAACTTGAGAGAACATATGGATAATAAAATTAAAATTATAGTACTATAGTAGTACTAGAGGAAACAATTCAAATAATTTCGATGAGGGTAAGATACTTTTTACATCCGAATCCGAGAAAGATGGCGATCAATCAATTTGGTATTTTCAGGTTAATTCAGGGGCAGGGTTGGATTTAAATATTAGCAGAATATGTTGGATGTATTTCCAACAGTTCTGTTATGGCGAGTTGCTTCTTTGGCTAGATCTCTAGGCCGTACAATGTAGCGGGAAGATCAGAATTATGCCGGATGACGTTTAGCAAAAAGTACCTGCATTGCTTTAAGTAATATTAATGGCTTCAGGCCGTACAGAATAGATAAGGTTAGTCAGTTTTATATAATTTTTCTATGCCGCAAGTCACTTTTGTTGGCCATAGGTAAAAATGACAATTGATATTTTCCAATTAAACTTTTAGAAATCACCGCATCGCTGCCGGTGTTCCAAGTGATCTGTGAAATTTATTTTTCTTGTGAGGATTGTATGCAATGAATATTACTATTAATCGTTGACAGAAAACTTCTAGACACTATTTTTTACCTTAGAAAAATACCAAATATAATAAGAAATAGTATATGACAAGAAATAGTTCGTGCAGCATTCACGGGCTAAAAGTTTATGCCGGTCATGCAGTGTAGCCTCAAACCATAATTAAATATATTATAGGTAAAAAATTACTTGTGTAATCTGTGAGCTGATTTCGAAGATCATTATTCCTGCTGTAACGTTGTTAATTTGTACATAAAGGATTTAAGCAAAAGGTCACATCTTACTTTTCACTGTATTTTAATTCTAAATATTTGTAGATGGATTATATCACATTTTATATTAACTACTTAAAAGAATTATCTATCACACACTATGTGGTTCAATTTGCCCAGAAACTGATTCACCTCATTTTTAATTATAGGCGACATGTATTTTTTGATGTGCCACGAATACCTTCTCTGTACACGATTGTCAAAGAATTTTTTGTGACATCAGTTAGTGAATCCCCCTTGTGTTTGTAGAAGTACCAAAATATAGCAGATATTGGCCAAATTAATTGTTTCGTTAGCTGTTTGGTGAGAAGTGCTAGTCCACTCTGGTCTTCGCTAGTTTGTGTTTTGCCATTTATTCCCCCCTTCAAATGCCATCATAAATGCATCGCTTGCAGTTTTGCATGCGATATCAATCAAGTCGGTATTTTAAGTTAATTCAGGGGGATAGAGTTGGCTTTAGATGTAAACAGAATATGTTGGATGTAAATCGAACATTTAAGTTAATGATAGTTATCTATTTGGCAATGTCTCTAGATCGTACAGCCTAGCAGAAAGATCAAAATGTTGACGGATGACGTTTAATAAGAAGTACCCACAATATTTAAAGTCTTATCGATGGCCGTACATATTATATTGGGATAGTTAGTTTTATATAATTATTAAATACCGAAAGTAGCTTTTATTGACTACAGCTAATAATTACCATTGATTTGGCAACACTGTATATTTTCGACATTTCTCGATGACCTCAAGAGAAGTTTCTAAATCTTGTTGAGAAATAAAACTAAAGTTTAAGACAAAATTTGTAGGGTTTATTGTTTTAAGGAATGCGTTTAATTGGACATTAATACACTGCGACCAATAAGATCTATTGTGTCCATTATGTCGTTAATTCAGCAAGGAAATAGTCTTATTCCTATAAAGACTCTCAATTCTATCTTCTCAAGGAAGTGAAGGATCTGGAATGGCATCAAAATAGGTAAATCGCCCTCTTTTATCTGGTATGCTAAGTAAAGTGCCTTTGGATTCTGGAGTGCTATACATTCAGTCACTCTCAGTTTACAAAGATGCTCTTTGGTCGGCAATGCCCAATAAGCATCGCTGTTACAATATTACTCAAACAGATTCAGGTTTCCGATCTTTCCTACTTATATTTACCCAGAAATATCTAAGCCTGTCTTAGCCACAAGAGTTTCAATTATACTGTTTAATTTTTTTAAATCTTTCCTTATTTTGTGTTACTGATGATACCGCCAAGCGACTCACATCCCTTAAACATTGTTTGAGTCCATTTTCTTGCAATATTATCTGCAATCTCGTTACCTTTTACCTCGTTATATCCCGGGACCCAAGTAAGGGTAACGCTATTTTCCTTGTCCAGCCCATTCAGATTTTTTGGACTTCATTAAGCCATTTTTGAGCTGATTACGTAAAATACCAGCGCTATGATGACTGGCTATCGAACGATAGTTTCTTTTGATTTTTAACTAAATACACGTTATGATAGTGTTAATTTTTTTCTAAAAGATGCTTGGATATTTATCCAAACTTTTGGATTGCTTGGTTAGACCCAGTTCTTTCTGTAGTTTGGGAATCATTCGTATACCACTGAATTCTTTTGCTATACTTAACTCTACGTTTTGAGGATTTTTACAAAACTACTTTCTCATTTTGACCTGTGGCATATCCCAAGTTTCTTTGGTCCTGGAGTTGCTACTCCGTTTCTGATCATTCTATATCTCTGTTCTTTCTGCTACTTGCTCTATCATTAAATGCGTGGAAATAAGTTTTAAGATAACCTCCATTGTGGCGGTACGACAGGTTCTCATTGCACCGCTGATGAAAACACAGGCTAGACCCTGAACTTTTGAGGTATTGGCTGTTGTAGTAGCTATATTAGTTCTGTTACTCCAGGCTACAGCCCCGTAAGTGATGATTGTTCTCACTATTGCTGTATACATTTATCTCAGAGTGTTTGGGTTACATTCCCTTCTTATAGGTCTTTTGTGGCCTTATTTATAACTTCCTTCTCATAAATGGTCCAGAAAAGTTTGTTATCCAGCGTTAGGTCTATATATTTGACATTATAGCAAGGGTAGTGTTGAATGCTATGTATTTCGTAGGTTCAGAGAGTCCTTTTTACTTTTGGAAAGTATTAAAACCGTTAAAACTTAGTTCCATTAGTTTATTACACACTTAACAAATTTACTAACAAAGAAAATCACGTTTGACAAAGAAAAGAAGTTAAATCATTGAATATAAAAGGCAAAAACACAAAATATGGTATTCATTGCTTTATTCGACAAGCATCGACTTGAGTCTTAAGATACATTTACATCTGACATTTATTGCATGAGATTTATGTCTGATAGTTGTTTAGTCCAGTGTAAATACACAAAAATTTATCTCGGACATATATTTTTGAGTGTTTACACTGGACTAAAAAACTGTCAGACATAAATATCAAGCAATAAATGTCAGATGTAAACGTACCTTTAGAAACCACGGCAAAAACTGCATTCTGTCATCTGTCTCTTTCGATCGCAATATCGATCGGGTAGAAATTAGGAATGATGTCCAATGGTAGGCAACTTTATATACACATGTATATATCAGGTTGTCGCAGTAGTAGGGTGTTACAACATCTATTTTTCCTTCGATATCTACCTCATCTAAATGGAACCCAGGTTTATGGTTTTTAGGCCAAGGTAAGATGTCGAAGCTTGTCCAGCTTTGTTCCCTTTGTAACCGAAATTATGTCGTCAACATAACTTTGACAAGATCATTTAATCTGCATACAAGTTTGATTAAGCTTCACATAATATAGTTATCAAAAGATAAAACCTTGAAACTATTTTACAAATTAGCATCAGAAACTTATTTTGAACTAAAAATTCACAAAATACATGGCATATATTAAACGTAAATTGATCATTTGCAAAAAATTGATTGTTGTAGATGATGCTAATAACAAAATATTTTTATCATCACTCTTAAAGTCCTAGGAAAAATACTAGAGTACTAGTAGGTCTATTAACAGGGCATTGTAGGCTTAACAAACATATGTATAATATCGATCTGACAGAAGAGACCTTGTGCCGATTTTCTCAGGAACGGCAGAACACGTATTGTGCTAGTGCAAAGGTCTAGTAAGACTGAGATTTCTTACACTTGGAGAAGAAAAACCAAGGTACCGGAGAACTACTTCTCAGTCTATGGAGTCTACTACAAAAGACTTAGAATTAGACAAGGTACTCTTAACAACGATTAAAGTATATCCTCAATAGATCTGAAAAGTTCGAGGTGGGGGATGTTAGTCTTTCTTTCTTGTCTTTAGAGAAAAGTCTGTTATTTTCCTTTTTAAATCTTTTAATGACATTCGTATTTTTTCTGACATTAATAATCTATCAAAATCATATACTATATCCTAACTAATAACCTAAAGTAATTTAGTAATGACGTCTATAAAAATAAAAGCGACATTTCTCCACCCTGCTAGAAGATTCTCAGGATTCTTTTAGTTCCAGCTTGAATATTATTGAGACCGGCCTTCAATAGTTTCCATTAGCCGTCTTTAAATCAATCACTCTTATTCTTCCGTCAGGTCCAGGATAAGTGGCTGTATCTCTAGCTAGTTTCCATTTATATCTGGGTTCTTGGTCATCGACTAATATTACGATATTATTTGTCGCTATGGGCTTATGGTCAGATGTCTATTTGTTTCTTTTAGTGAGAGAAGGCAAATACTCTTTTGTCCATCTTCCCCAAAAAGAAGTAGCGAGCATCCTAGATTCCTTTCATTCTCTTCGTAGACTATTTGCGTTAGGATTAATGGAAAGAAATGTCAAATTCCTGTCGTTTGGCATCCCAAACAAAAAAATGATTGGGAGTTAATGGTTCAGGGTCAAGGGCATCGTAAAAAAGCCTTGATCATGAAGTATTTTTTCTATTGTTCCTTTAACACTATCTATTAATGTTTCCCA